TTTCTTTTGCGGAGGCTCCTCCTTGCCTCTGGGGGCCTCACAAAAGTTGTTTCAGGCTTTCTTAAGGCCTTCTGGAGGCCTCCTGGGCGTATTCTGGGGGCCTCTGGGGGCTTCCTCGGGCCACCCTGCCTCCAACCGCTGTCTCCCTGAACGACCGGGTCACGATTTGGAATGCTTCGGAGGGTGGACTGTCTTGGTGCCATCTTGGGCCGCCATAGGGGCTCTTTGAGGGCCATCTTGGACCCGTGTTGTACCGTTTTGGGGCTCTCTCGGACTGCCTGGAAGCCCTTTCGGATGGTTGTGAGGCGATTTTGGAGCTTCCCAGGCGGCTTCGGACGCCCAGAAGACCGAAAAGAGGAGCGTCGGGAAGAGGAAGCGTCGGGAAGCCGAAAAGAGGAGAACCCCACAATTCACAAACAATCAACAGACTATTAATGAGTCTTGCCTCTTGAGGCCTTTTTGGGAGTGATCTTGGAGGCCTCTTTGGGGCCGTCCTGAAGGCCTCTTGGGCCATCTTGAGGTCACGTCGGTCACTCTTGGAGCGCTCTTGTGCTGTCTTGGGTGTCTCTGGGACGGTTCCGATGACCCCCCTGATCGCCCTAGGTGTGCTGGGGGGGCTTGGCAAAACGCCCTGCGAGGCCCGGGGGACCGCTTCGAGGCCCGTCCGGAGGGTCCCAAAGCCCCAGATCCCAGGAGTCCGGTTTTGGGGGGGTGACGGTTTTCCCCCCCGCCAGGGATTGCAAACATATAAGAAGAGGAACATGTGTGTGTGTGTGCCTTCGGCCCATACCGCCACCGTGACCGTCTCCTGGATCAGAGACCGCCCCTCCGATGCTTTCTGTGGTCTCTTGGGAGGCCTGCTCGGGCGCATATTCTGGGAGCGTCATGGGGCATCCTGGAGGCGCTTCGGGAGCCTTTTCAGGAGTTGTCGGCGGTCTCCCTTTTGTTTTTGTGAGATTCGCAAGCCTGTGTTTGACAAAGGGGAGTTGGAGATCCCGCAAGTCGAACGTTGCTTGCGCGGCTTTTCGGCCCAGTGTTGAATGAGAAGGCTGCGAGAGAGGGGGGAGCGCGAATGACGCGTAAGAGAACTTGCCATAACCGAAACAAATGTATGATTGTTCTTCCAGTCCGCCGTCCTCCGTCCGTCCTCTTCATCGTCCTCTTCCTCTTCCTCATCGTCCTGCTAGTCGCCACCTCCTCCAATTTTCACCGCTTACATTTTCTGTTTGCGCCCGTCCAACACCACACCGCAATGGGAATGGATGTGTTGGAAGGTTACGATACCAGATGTGGCGTGAACACAGTTTCCCTGAGATCCGACGCAGCACAACATCGGGACCAATCGTGATCCGAACCCCAGACCCAATCTTTCTGCGCAGTTTGTCGAGCCAGGTTGATATGCGAGGACCCCGAGGCCCGAAATCGGGCAAACACGCCTGGGCCGAACAAACATCGGAGTGCCAGGTTCCCAGGGTTTGTTTGTCCTTCCCCCCTCGCTCCCTGCCCCCTGTCGTCAGCATCAGGGGTGATGTTGACTGGAGAGGCCTTACGGCCGGTGCCGCCGACCCTGAACGACGACGACGACGACGACACCGACGGCGGCGGTGGCGGCGGCAACGGTGATGTTGATGTTCGTCGCCACCGCGCTTGCTCTTCTGTCGCCTGGGTCAGTGGGCCGCGGCCCGCAGGCCTTCAAAATCTCTGGAGGACGGCCTTCCGGACTCTCTGCTCCTCTGGCCTAGTTGTAAGTCGTGCCTGTCCTTTTACAGGGGGAATCTTCAAACATAGTTTTAAACATAGTGTGGGGACTATTTTTTAGTATCTCTGGGCATTCTTTTTTTTGTTTTTATGTTTTTTTGTTTTGTCTATTGTTCGTCAAAAATCCCCCTGTAGGGGGACATGGCCCGACCTATGCCTAGTTTCACGCGGTGGAGCCCCCCCCCCTGGGCACGACCCGCCCTCCCTTCTCCTGCGACTCCGACGCCTCCGCCGGACGGGGCGCTAGGACCAGGAGGCACCTGTTGCGGGGCGTTCCGGCACGCTTCCAGAGCGTCGGGAGCCTTGAGACGGGGGTCAATGCAAACGGGGGTCAGCCAGAGCGCCAGATTTTGCAGGATTCTGCGAAGACTCCCTCTGGCTGACCCGGGTTAGCGAGCCGCTCGTGGCCGCGAGGCGGCCGCTCGTATTGGCTGACCCGGATTTGCGAAGACCTGCGTTGCAGTGTTTTTTTCTTGCATTGCTGTTTTTGGTTTCCTGCTTACCCGGGTCTGGATAGACCCGGCTCAGAAGATCCCCGACCCAGAACGTTCTGAGAAGACCGTGGCGCCCGAGACATCTTCCAGAGCCGCCAGATTTGAGTCGGGCGTGTCCCTCTACAGGGGGAATGCTCAATGGTGCTGGAGAAAAGCCCAATCTGGGCTATAGGGCTAGGGGGCTATAGGCTATAGGGCCATAGGGCTATTGAGCTATAGGGCTATAGAGCTATAGGGCTATAGAGCTATAGGGCTATACGGCTACTGGGCTATAGGGCTATAAGGCTATAGGGCGCCCCCGGGCACCCCCGGGCACCCCCGGGCACGCCCGGGCACCCGGGCACCAGGGCCCCCGGGCCCCCCCCGGTCCCCCCCCGGGCACCCGGGCGTGCAACGAAGATCGGCGGCCAACTTCACCCCCGGGCACCCCCGGGCACCTGGGCGTGCGGCGAAAATCGGCGGCAAACCTAATCTAACCATATTGATTAGGGAAAAATAGTAAAAAAATAGTCTTGGGACTACGTTTTGAATATTTTTGGGGATCTTTTGAATATTAGTTGAATGTTTTTGTTTTTCGTCCAAAATCTCCCTGCAGGGGGCTTGCCCGACTTAGCGCCAGATCTCAGAGATTCTCACCCGATGGTATCCTCTTCCTGGCTTCGTCTTACTCCCGAGCCCGCAGCCTCGCGGGCGAGAACTCACATCTCCGGCGCCGCGGCCTCGCGGGCCAGGCCCACGGGCCGCGATCACGCGGATACGGGGCGTTTTTTCGCGGATGCCCCGCGCGGGATCGCGCCCAGGATTCGGGCGGGTGGTACAGTCGGCCCAGATCCGTAGGTCGGCCCTGCCGAATCAAGGGTATGCCCTTGTGTCCTGCGTCTCGCGACCCATGCTTCCTGCATTCCTGCGGCAATGTGCCCCTGGGAAGGGTCTTGTGCCCTCTCGCGCGTCCTGTCCAATCGAGTCCGACTGCAACGAGAGGTGGCCCAACTGGAGGGTGAAGCAGACGGCCCTTGGGGCCCCTCTGGGGCACCAGCTGGCTCCAAAAGCAAAAGGGGCCCCAACGGGTCCCTTCGGGGCCCTTCGCGTCCCCCCCCCCTTCGGGCCACCCCCCATGACCACCCGCCCGAAGAGTCCACCGCGAGGGCGCGGGGGCGGAGACTCACGCCTGAAGACGGGCTTGTTTGTCTCTCTGCAGGGGAAATATTCCAAGACATCAAATTTCCCTGGCGACGTACCCAACCCCTGCGCAAGGCGGGGCAGGAGTAGCTTGGGAGATTTGACGAGAACGCGGCGACGTGACATGGACGCATATATTTCTGCGAGCGGCATTCGGGAGGTTCGCAGGTCCCCAATCAAGAGAAAACGATGAGTAACTAAGTGAACCCCTGAGTCACTAAGGAAGACGCAAGGTCCAAAAGGAGACTGCGGGCAAGCGGCTTGAAACGTCGGCGGGGCAGCAACAACATGACATGGCCGCCCAGGGACGGCGAGGTCCCGCTCAGGTCCGCGCAGTGCCTCACTCCGCTGGACCCACCAGCAGCCTTCGAAGGTGGCCAGCCCACCAGCAGCCCTCAAAAGAGGCGACAGTTTCGCAGATCGCAGCCCCCCCAGGGACGGCGAGGTCTACCTCAGGTCTGCACGGCGCCTCACTCCGCCGGAGCCACCAGCAGCCCTCGAACGTGGCGACAGTTTCGCAGATCGCAGCCCCCCCAGGGACGGCGAGGTCTACCTCAGGTCTGCACGGCGCCTCACTCCGCCGGAGCCACCAGCAGCCCTCGAACGTGGCGACAGTTTCGCAGATCGCGCCTTCGAGCGTGGCGACAGTTTCGCAGATCGCAGCCTCCTAGGGACGGCGAAGACAGGGCAGGATGAGGGAGGAGCGAGCGGGCGGGAGGAGGCGGGAGGAGCAGGCGGGAGGAGGGAGGGGGGAGGAGGGAGGAGGGAGGAGGCGGGAGGGAGGAGGAGGAGGGAGGAGGGAGAGGAGGGGGAGGGAGGAGGGGGGGGAGGGGGAGGAGGGAGGAGGCAGGAGGAGGGAGGAGGGAGGAGCGAGACGCGACCGCGGTGCTCATACCCAACCAAGCAGGAGCAGGCGGGAGGAGCAGGCGGGAGGATGCAAAACTCATACCCAACCAAGGAGGTTTGAGACACATAGTCGGGTGACGACGTTTGGATTATTGTTGAACATGGTTTGTATTGTCGAACAACTTCGGTTCCTCAATTTTTCGTGCAATTCCGCCTGTAGGGCTATGGTGTTCCAGCCCAGTTTAGCATGGACCACTAGGAAAGAATGTCGAACAACAGGACAGCACCGAGACTGGAGGGTCCTCACCTGTCGGGCCCTGGGAGGCGATACTCGTTCGACGTTGTTTCTACGTTGTTCTGGGTGCTCGAAATGTGTTCTTGGATGTGGTCCTACGGGGAAGAACATACTTGTAGATGGATGTGCTTGAAGATTGGTTGGGTTTCTTGACTATGTTTATTTGTCGCCCAAGATCCGTCTGCAGGGGGACGCCTCTACAGGGGGGGAGTATGCAGAAATGATGAACACATAGTTTTGGGGCGATGTTTCAGATGTTTGGAACATGTTTTTGGTCGTATGTTTTGCATGTTTGGCGTACATTTGATATGTTGTCCAACTTCCCCCTCTAGGGGGACACGCCCGACCTGAGGATACTCCCGCCCCCTCCGTCGACCCGCCGCCCCGGCCGAGCGGCCCGCGGCCGCTCCCCCCCCCCCCCCCCGCAGGCCCCCGAGTTCGTGCCCGCGCCCAAGGAGGAGCCGCCCGTGCCCGTGCCGCTGGTGCACGCCCGCCGCCTCCTGCAGCCTGTGCTGAGTCGGGCCTGCCCCTCTGCAGTCGGGGGCGGGTAGACCTACTCCGACACGTCGATTCAGGAATTGGCCGTTTCTCGGTTCGCGAGAGGGCGTCGCGGCCGTCATTCTTGCGGGTCCAGGTCCGTGGGTTTCGGTCCCAGGCCATTTTCTTTAAGGGGAGGTTTGCTAAAGGGAGGTGTGTCCACCGCCGATACAGGGGGAATATTCTACAGGATGATGTTTGGCGTATGGTTTGGCTGTGTTGGGATATGTTTGGGGTCTGTTTTACTTGTCGCCCACAATCCGCCTGTAGGGGGACACGCCCGTGCCCGTGCCGCTGGTGCGCGCCCGCCGTCCTCCTGCAGCTTGTTCGGGTTGGCCCAAAAGGGGTCCAGCGACAGGAGGAATATTCAAAAATAGTCAAAAGTAATTTGGGTACGATGCTTTTAGTTTTTGTTCGGCTATGTTTTATGATTTGTCGCGCTAATTCCGCCTGTGGGAGGACATGCCCGACCTAATCCAAGCCCCTGTCCGTGGATCGTGGGCCTCCAATTTCGGCCTCAGATTGTTTGCCGCGCGCATGCTGGTGATGCGGCCGCCCTGTGGGCCAGGAGCTCCAGGAGAAGGTCCGGCTCCTCCTCCTCCTCCTGGTCCTCCTCCTCCTCCTCCTCCTCCTCCTCCTCCTCCTCCTCCTCATCCTCATCCTCATCCTCATCCTCCTCCTCCTCCTCCTCCTCCTCCTCCCCCTCCTCCCCATCCTCCTCCTCCTCCTCCTCCTCCTCCTCCTCCTCCTCCTTCCATCCCTCCTCCTTCCATCCCTCCGGGTGCGGCCCGATGTCCAGAAGGCCAGTGGAGGAGCCGCCCCCTGATGATTGGCCGGCTGATGGGGCGCGCCAGGGGCGTGGCCGGCGCCTGCCGCGGAGGGTCTAGGCCTCTTAGTGAAAAGTTGTTCCGAAGGGCGTAGGCGACCCGTCCTCCTCTCTCCTCCTCCTCCTCCTCCTCCTCCTCCTCCTCCTCTTCCTCCTCCTCCTCCTCCTCCTCCTCCTCCTCCTCCTTTTCCTCCTCCTTTTCCTCCTCCTCCTCCTCCTGCCGAAGAGCGGCCGCCGAAGAGGATCTCCCGCCTCTGTCCGTGGAGGCCCTCGACGCTGCCACTGCTAAGCTGGGCCCTCGCAAGGCCAAGGGCGTCGACAGGCTGGGCCCCTTGGACGTGGAGCGAGCCCCGCGGCTTGCCAAGCTTGAGCTCCTCGCCATCTTCAGAGGCTGCCGAGCGCGAGTGCATGTGGCCGCCGCAGCTCCACGGCACCCTCGGCGCCCTGGCTGGCAAGCCAGCGGGCGGGGACAGGGTCCTCGGCCTCCTCCCCATGCCTGTCCGCATCTGGTCCAGGCTCCGGGGAGGCATCGTCGAGCGCTGGAACGACGAGCTGGGGGACAAGTGGGACACGGCGTTGAAGGGCTCCTCGGCCCTGCGCGCAGCCCTACTCAGGGCCACTCTCAACGAGACGGCCCAGTGCATGAACATCAGCCACGCCTCCCCCACGAGCCAGCCGCGGGCGCCCCCACGATGCACGGCGACGCTGCCTTCGCCGAGATCCTCCGCCAGCAGGCCTTGCGCGTGGTGAACCCTCGACCCTGCCCTGCGCAGGAGCCGGCCCAAGCCCCCCGCAGGCTCAGGGGCAAGCAGCCGCCCCTGGGGGGCCCAGAGGGCAGGGAAGCCCCGCCAGTGCGGCGCCGTGCAAGGGGCCCCCAGGCTGGGCGACGCCTTGGCAGCCAGCGGAGGGCCCAGTCCAGGCGCCCGCGCAGCGCCCGGCCAGCGGCTCCCTCCGCTGGAGATTTCGGCCTGGATCGCGGCCCGCCCAGCGCCGACCAGCTCGGCGACGGCCGCTCTGAGCCAGGGCGCGCGGTGGCAGACGGCGGGCCTGGCGCCGCGGCCGGTGTCGGAGGCCCTCCTGACGCCCGCCCTGGAGCTGCTGACGAGCTCGAGGCCGACGGCGCGGGCGGTCGCCGCAGTGCACGCCCCCCAGCCCCTGGCCCTCTGGAGCTTGCTTTTGCTGAGGCTGCCGACGCCCTCCAGCGGGAGCAGCGGTGCATCTGGGACAAGGTGGCCTACCTCCTCGCAGCGGCCACCTCAGGAAGGGCGCGGCCATCCTCGACCCCGCCGAGCTCGGCGAGGACCAAGGAGGAGCAGGCCTGGGACGCGCCCGCGGCGGCGGCGGCGGCTGACGCGGCCAGCGCGCCGGCGCCTCGGCCCCGGGCGATTGCCGCTGCCGCCCGATCTCGGACGCACTCTGACACGAGACCAGGGGTTGCGGATGCTGCACGTGCGCGGCGGGGGCGAGCGGCGTCATTGGCCCCACCGCGCGCTCGACGTGGTGTGGCGCCAGAGGGCGCGGAAGGCGAGCCGGTAACCTCCCCGCCTTCCTGGGCGGCCCCTCTCCACCCTCCATGCGGAGGGGGAGAAGGGTCGGGGGGGGCCTGCCTTGTTGAGGCAGGTACCGTGGGTACTGGCTCCGCCGTGAGCGGCGCGGCGGGAGGAGCTCCCCGCACCGCGGGCCCACCCGAGGCTCGGCGGAGGCGGCGAGGCGAGGTGGCGCCCCCAGGCACACGGCCAGGTGGTCGGAGCGGGCCTTCGCCCGCCAACGCAACGTGGAGGACTGAGGGACTGTGGGGTTCACTGGGTTTCCACTGCTGTGTACCCTGTCGGGTACGTGGTTGTGGGAGCCCTCTGTGATTGTGTCTACTCAAATCCTCGTCCTCCTCCTCCTCCTCCTCCTCCTCCCCTCCCTCCTCCTCCTCCTCCTCCTCCTCCTCCTCCGCCTCCTCCTCCTCCTCCGCCTCTTCCTCCTCCTCCTCCTCCTCCTCCTCCTCCTAACCCCCCCTCCTTCTCCTGCTCCTCCTCCTCTTCCTCCTCTTCCTCCTCCTCCTCCTTCTCCTCCGGGGCCTGCGCCGCGATTCCGCTTGCTGCTACCTGAGTACGTCGGGCGGAGAGCGGTGGAGTTCTGCCGACTCGACGGGGTGGGCCTGCGCCGCGACCCCGAGCGGAGCCGCTGACCGTGAATGGCGATTTCATGTTCGTGAAGCGGGAGTTCATCACGGTCGGGGGGCCCCACCTCGTAAGGCGGGCCTCCCGCGGACGCGCCCGCTGCCGCGGGCGGGCGTCGGGCGGTCCGCACCAACCGCCTCAGGACGATCCGATCCTTTCCCTCCTCCTCATCCTCCTCCTCCTCCTCCTCCTCCTCCTCCTCCTCCTCCTCCTCCTCCTCTTCCTCCCCCCCCCCCGCCTCCTCCTCCTCCTCCTCCTCCTCCTCCTTCCTCCCTCCTCCTCCCCTCCTCCTCCTCCTCCTCCTCCTCCTCCTCCTCCTCCTCCTCCTCCTCCTCCTCCTCCTCCTCGGGTCGCCTACGGCCCCGGGGGAAACCGTGCACTTATATGGGGTCCGAGTGGACGGGGTCGGAGCATCGCGCCACGTCGCCTGTGCATCGGCGGTGCGGCTCGATGTGGAGGTCGCGTTTGCCCGCACCGACGTCGCCGACGCATCGCCGATGCATCGGCGATGCGGCGAGATCCTCCGGCCCAAGCTACACTCTGACCCCGTCTGGGAGGTGTCCTGTGGCGCGGCGCCTGCCGCGGAGGGGGTCCCTGAGATCTTGGCGCTTCAATGTTTGCGAGCCGGGCGTGTTCCCCCGGTTTCGGGCCTTGGGCCCCTCAGAAGACAGTCCTGCTCGAAGGGTGGCGCAGAAAGATGGGGCCTAGGGCTCTGGTCATGATTTCCTCTCGATGATGCATGTTTTGCCACGTCGGATCTTAATGGGCCCAGCGCTGGAGGCCGGGGCGCAATCGCCGCCTGTCGCGAGGGGGTTGGGTGGAGGGGTTAGGCGACCCGTCCTCCTCCTCGTCCTCCTCCTCCTCCTCCTACTCCTCCTCCTCCTCCTCCTCCTCCTCCTCCTCCTCCTTTTCTCTCCTCCTCCTCCTCCTCCCTCCTCCTTCTCCTTTTCCTTCTCCTTTTCCCCCTCCTCCTCCGAATCCATTTTGGCTCATGTCTGGCTCGACCGGCGGGGGCGCAGGCCTGGGTGGCGCGGGCGGCCGCCGTCCCTGCGGGAAAGCGCGGCCGGCGTTTCCTCTCGTCGGAACAGTGCGGCTCAACGGCAGGCGGCGCTCTCAGCGGAGCTTGCGGTCTCGAGGCCGACCTCCGAGGTCGCAGCCGAGCGGCAGCTCCGCATGCAGGCGGAGGAGGCGGTGACGCTGATGGTCGACGACGTCGCAGTTGCTGGGCGTGTACGTGCGCTCCTCCCTGCGCTGCGGGCGTTATGCCGCGGTGAGGCGCCCGACTGGCTGATGACCTTGCGGCGTAACGTCGCGCTCCATGCCGAGTCGGATGGCGTACCCGACATCGCCTCAGCGGGTGCGTCCACGCTGCGAGGCGCGCAGAAGGGGCCGCGGCTCGGCCTCAAGTGCGCGTGCCAGCGGGCGACGGCTGGCGCCCCTGCTCCTGGAGGGCTCCGTCGTGATGCAGCCCCCTTCTGGCCGATGCGGCCGCCGGGTGTCTGTGACCGCCAGGCCGTGCAGGTCTTGGCGGAAGCCCTCGGGTTCGGCACCGTGGTCGGCTCGGAGGCGGAGGAGGTCGTCGCGGGCCCGCCGACGGTGCTTCCTTCGGAGGTGGAGCCCTTCAGTGCTGCTGCCGTTGCAGAGAGTTGCGCGAGCCACAAATGACGCCAGGCGGTGAAATCTGCAATGGTGCAGTTGCGCGCTGATGGCATATCCATATATATACATATATATATATATATATCATGTCGTGGATGCTTTGCCCGCGCGGTGCGGCGCATGAACCCCATGATGTTTTTGTTGCTGGTCGGCGGCAGAGTCCATAGGTTGCGCCCTGCGTTGCGCCATAGATTGCGCCTTAGGCGGCTGAGGAAAAAATGCGTCTCCGATCGGTTGAGCCATAGGTTGCGCCCTTGCCGGCTGAGAATGAAATCATTTCCTGTCGGTTGCGCAGAAGATGTCGCACTCGGCGGCCGAACAAAAACCCGTTTCCTATCGGTTGCGCAATAGGTTGCGCCCTTGGTTGCCGAGAGTACAACCGTTGCGTAACGGGTGCGACCAGGAAACAAACTCGGTGGAAACATTTCGCGGGAAACAATTTCATCTCGCGAAACAAATTCATCTCGCGGGAAACAAATTCGGCGCCCGCCAAGAAGAGGGCAGTGGGACCTTCAAACATGGATCCGTGACGGCAGCGACCCTCACGGAAAGGACTCGAGTTTTGGGGCCGCGGACAAAATAAATCATGTCGGTTGATGTCAGGCTCCGTGTGCCGCGGGCGCCCTCGGCGTCGTCGGAGGCCGCCCTTTTGTTGCTTGGGCATCGCGCGCCTACGCGGGCGCGCACGATGCAAACTTAGAGTCCTAGAGCCCCGTCTCATCGCTGTGCTCCCCCCCTCGTGCGAGAATCGGGTCCGCGCTTCCCCCTTTTCGCCCGCCAAAACGATGGTGAAGCAGGCACGTCGCCGTAGACCGTAGATCGGAGATTCAACAGTTTGGCGGGGTAGGGAAGGAGCTGGGGTCGCCATGCGGTCGGAGCAAAACGTAAGACGTAAGAGTATGCTCGGTTTGGGGTGATATGTAATGGTGGTCATTTGGTATTGCGTGTTCATGTGCAAGTTTGGAACGGGTACCCTGGGAGGTTTTTCAGTTTGACAGTTTTGTTCGTTGGTCCCAATAAGGCATGGGTTCCGTCCGGGCCATGCCTTCCCGCTCTTCGGAAACAGGAGCCCCCTTTGAGCTCTTCTTGTTTTTTTTTTCCGGCGGAAAGGGCTCGCGTTCGTGTAGCAGGTTGTCACGTCCCCGTTCCGAGTGTATCTCCAATCCGATGCATCGGCGAGAGGAGGAAGACGAGGAGGAGGAGGAGGAGCAGAAAGAGAAAAAGGAGGGCGAGGAGGAGGAGGAGGCGGAGGAGGAGGATGGCGCGATCCCTTTGGTCCGTCCGCTCGGACACCGCACGGGCGGCCTCCGAGGAGGCCCCCCCCCCACGCGCGCGCCAGGTGCCCGGGTCGCCGTGCGGCAACTTCCAGCCCGTCATGTGCGTGCAGGCGCGGCGGCGCGGATTTGCCCCGACTTCGGGGCCGTTGCGTCACCTGGGCGATGCCGCAAGTGGGGCAGAAAAACGTCCGCCCCGCTCTGCAGGCTCACGGGATGCCGAGGGTTCCGCCCTCCTCCTCCGCCGACGTGTCTACCACACTTTCTCTGCGGCGATGGTGCCTGCCCCAGGGGACCACATGCGAGCCCTGACCCTAACCCCCACGATTTCTGAGGGGAAGGGTGGGGTTCACTTCACTCGGGACGATCGAAGTGAACCCCACCCTCCCCCTCAGAAGTCGTGGGGGTTAGGGTCAGGGTTCGCATGTGGTCCCCCTGTGCCCTAGTTTCTCGCATCGTTCTGGGGTGCATCGCTCGACGCGGAGCATCAACCACAGCACGGCGCATCCGAAGCCTCCCCCGGCGGTCCGAGGCATGAGGCCTCTCCAGCGGGAACCCGCCTGGGGGAAGCACCCAACCCTTCAGTCGGGCGTGTCCCTCTACAGGAGGAGCGTTTCAAACATAGTAAAGAACTAGTCTGGGGACGATTTCTCGTGATTTCTGAGAACTGTTTGCGCATGTTGTGGCTATTTTTCATTTTTCGTCCAGAATGCGCCTGTAGGGGGATGCGCCACGCCGAGGGGTTCCTGGCGGCGGCGTGTCGTTGATGCTCTTTCCAAGGGCTCCCTCGAGGGCGCGAAGTTATTCGCGCTTCGCGGTCCTCGTTCCTTCTCCTCCTCCTCCACCTCCTCCTCCTCCTCCTCCTCTCCTCCTCCTCGTCCCTCCTCCCTCCCTCCCTAAGGGAGGGTCCGCAGACGCGGTCACCCCGAGGGTCGAGGAGATCCACATCGGGCCCGCAGCGGGATCCCCGGAGGGCACGCCCTCGGCGGACGAGGCGCGGGCGACCGTGCGCACCTCCGGCCTGGCCGTGGAGGAATGGCTTGCGCCATCGGAGTTCAGTCGGGCCTGTTCTTGAACAGGAGGAATCTTCAAAAAGAGTACAAATATTGTCTGGGGACGAATTGTTGAGCACCTTTCGGTTCCGTTGGCTCATTTGTGTTGTTTTTTATATCTCGTCCAAAATCCGCCTGTAGGGGGCACATGCCCGACCTAACCCCAACGTGAGCGTTTGTTGAATTCATTATTTTTCCGATCGGCGCGGGCCCTCGCACCCGCCCCTCCCCCCCCCCCGTGGAGCACGCCTTGGCTGTTTTGGCGCCTGCTTCAGGCAGGTGGAGCCTCCCCCCATCCGACGCACCGTCGCAAACAGTCGCAGTAAGCAGAGGTCAGGAGCCCGACGCGCCCCCCCCCTCTTCCGCCCGGTGTCGAAGCGCCGAACACAAAAAACGTTCACAAGGTCGAGAGTGTCCTGGCCGTGGAAAAGATGGGTTTCCTGTGTTGAAGTATGCTGTTGATGATCGCGTCTTTACTAATCAGTCGCGCATCAGAATCGTATGAAATGCCAGTGCTGCCACCAGGGCCGCGCCCGCACATGTTTGAGCGCCTGCTGCTGTAGTCACAGCGCTGTCCGACAATCTTCGGAGTGGCGGCTGGCATGTAAACCTCTGGGGCCTCGCTCTTGGACGTTTCCTGGCTACCGCGTGGAGCAGAAAAGCGCGTGCACCGGATGGACGGGGTACCCTGAGAGTCTGGCGTCAAAATCTTTTCGAGCCAGGCGTTTTTGCCCGATTTGGGGCCCCAGAACCCTCGCAGATCGAGCTGGCTCGGAAAGAGGCGCAGAAAGACGGGGTCCAGGGCTCTGGTCATGTTTTTTAGCGATGGTGCAGCTTTTTTGCCACGTCGAATCTCATGGCACCGATTGAGGGGCAGGCCAGGGTCGACGGTGGATTGTGCCTGCGGCTGTCAAGTAGGGGCCCCGACACTGGCGGACCTCCATGCCGTCTACAATGTGGGCTCTGCATGTGAGGTGACCTTCAGGGATCCGCGCGCACAGTCAAAGCGCATCATGAGGACGAGCACTTTCCCAAGGGAGCTCTTGCATCCTTGGCTCTCGGCCCATCCTAGCCCCTGTCCGTGGATCGTGGGCCTCCAACTTCGGCCTCAGATTGTTTACCGCGCATCCTGGCGATGCGGCCGCACCGTGGGCCAGGAGCTCCAGGAGAAGGTCCGGAGCTCTGCGAACGCTGCCCTCGTCCTCCTCTTCCTCCTGCTGCTCCTCCTCCTCCCGCTCCTCCTGCTCCTCCGTCCCTCCCGGTGCGGCCCGATGTCCATCAGGCGAGGGGAGGAGCTGCTGCCCCCAGGGCCCGCCGATGGGGCGCGCGGCCACAGAGGTCACAGCTCTGGGCGCGAAGCAGCGGCCCCTCCGTCCCTGGTCCGGCCCGCTGGCTCGCACATTGGCCACCCGGAAGGCTGCCGAAAATGCCCGAGTGGTTGCCCAGATCGCCTGCAAGGCGGCCAAGACGGCTCAGGATGGCCTCCAAGACGGCCGAGATGGTCTCCAAGTTCGCCCAAGGTGGCGTCCAGGACGGCCCGAGAGGGTCCACGATGCCTCCAAGTCTGCCCAAGACGCCTCCAAGACGGCCCCCAACGGCCCAAGAGGCCCCAAATGGCCTCCAAGACGGCCCAAGAGGCTTCCAAGAGGTCCTCCAGGAGGTCCCAGAGACAGAATTCCCCCTCCTTTTGGCTGTTGTTGAAAGTGCTGGAGGCTTGCCCCCCGCCTGTTTTTGCTGTGTTAGTGTAATTGTGTTGTTGTGCTTATCTGAATTCTTCGTTCTTGGCTCGTCCAAATCGTGTTGAAAACGACACCCCAGGAAGTTGGCTTCAGGCAGGCAGCATTGTGACGCATCAACGCGTACGAAAACAAAACGCAACGACAACGGGACGACTGGAAGAGCACGGACCTAACAAAGTAACACAACGGCGCCCAGAAACTATAACTCAAACCCGATCTCCAAAACGGAGAGAGACCAAAACGCAATCAGCGTTCCTTGAGATCCGACGTAGCGAAACATGCAACATCGTGGCACATCATGGCCAGTGCTCCGGACCCCACCTTTTTGCATCACTTTGCGAGCCCGACCCAGCTTTGAGGGCCCCATGGGCCGAAGCCTGGCGACAAAACCGCCCGACCCGCGAAGATTTCAAGGCCAGGACCTCCCCACCCCCCTCCAACCTCCAGCGCTCCCAGACGGTGGCGGCGGCGACGCCGGCGGCGGCCACGATGGATCCTCATCCCTCCCGATCCTCTTTCGCCGCCTCGACCCTCGGTCCTCGACTTGTCAGGAGGGAAAAAACACACAGACACAATTGATCGTCGATTCCCCAGAAAATATGGGAAAATATTGGAAGTGGGGGGGAAGACAAAAACCCAGAAAATATGGGAAACTATGGGGAATCTGTTTATGTGTGTGTATTCATGTATGTGTCCTGGGGCCCTTTCGACTTGCGGCGGCGACGACGACGACGACCGACGACCGACGACGACGACGACGACGGTGGCGGCGGCGCGCCCGGCGGCCGCGCCCTGCTGCCCCGATGTTGGGCACGGGGCACCGCTCCCCCGGAGAGGGCGTGCCCGGGTCCGTGCCGCAGATGATGCAGTGCCAGGCGCGGGGGGAGGGAGGGCTGGACCTGGCATCGCTCGGACGTGTGCATTTTTCCTTCGGCGAGGACCATCGAGGAGCATCCTTGATCATTAGGCGACAAAACCACGCACAACACCGAAAAAACACTGGGAATGGACGAGGGCTGGAGGGAGGTGGAGGTGGAGGGCTGGAGGGAGGTGAATACAGTGTCGGGCAGGGCGAAAGGGGGGGATTGGGAAAGGGGGGGTAACGAAATCTGCTGCATGCAGCTGGTTTCGGCCCCACCGAGGGGCCCAGTCCTCGATACATGGGCGCCTCCCGGCGCCGGGAGGCGCCGGGAAAGTCAGCTACGTGAGCTGATTTTCAAGCCCCTCCTTTGCTATCCCCCCCTTTCGCCCCACCCGACAGTGGAGGCCCATGCCAAGAATCGGAGGTGGATAGACCTCTTGCCCTGACACGTCGATGGAGGGAGTTGGCCGTTCTCGGTTCGCGAGGGGGCGCCGCGGCCGTCCTTTTTGCGGGTCCAGGTCCGTCGGTTTTGGTCCCAGGCCGTTCTCACTAATGGGAGGTTTGCTGAAGGGAGGTTTGTCCACCGCCGTCCGTGGAGGCCCATGCCAAGAAACACCCTGCTTGCCTCCAGGGTGTCCTGGGTTTCTTGAGTCTCGATGGTTTTGCGGAAGGCGTGATGGTCCCACACCAAAAATCCATGGACGTCTTGGGGTCTCAGGGTTCGGTTTCTTGTGGGTTTCTTGTGGACTGGCCTCCACTATATCATGGTGCAGGGCAGGACAGGAGGGAGGACTGGAGGGAGGACTCGGGGGCGTCCAAGAGGGGGGTGATGACCAGAGGGTGGATCGATATCATTGCGGGAGGCATGTCATCGCCCCGGGTTTCATGGCCCCTTCTGAGCATTCTTCTTTCAATGCGGCCCCTGGCTCGCGGCGCATATGCCTCCTGCCATGATGCGCACCCCCCCCGCCCCCTTATAGTGGTTAGATCAGTGGAGTCAACGATTCTGGCCAAAAATCTTGCGAACATCTTCCCCTGAATCTCAGGCCGCAGTGCTTGGGCCCCTCTCAGATCTCTGACGAAATTTCCAAGCCAACTCTCGACCGAAATCTTCTGGGAGATCTCCAGGAATCCCCCTTCTGGTGGAAATCTTCGCCGAAATCTCTGGGCTATCTCGCCCGCCCGAGAATATCCGGCGAAGTCTCTGGGGTTTCCAGAATGTGTTCGGATTCGTGAAAATCTATTGGGATGTAGGACATGTCAGTGGAAAACGCGTTGGACATCTGTTCAGGAGATTGCTCAAGAGATTTCCGGGAGATTTCTTTCCGAGGGGCAAGATTTGCCGGTAGATTTCCACGGAGACTTCCGAGTGACAAGTTTTCCCGGGAGATTTCCGAGGGGCGAAATTTCCTGGGGTTCCGGAATGTGTTCGGATTGATTAGAGTATATTGGGATTCAGGACGGTTTGATCAATGTACATCTCCTTGGAAATCTGTTCCAGGAGATTTCCCAGGATATGTCCCGGGAGATTTCCAAGGGGCATGATTTTCCGGTAGATTTCCACTGAGTTTTTTGAGGGGCGAGATTTTCGGGGGAGATTTACGAGGGGCAAGATTTTTCGGGAGATTTACATTGAGATTTCCGAGTGGCAAGATTTCCTAGGAGATTTTGCACCAGGGATATTCGACGGGCAAGATTTCCCGGGAGATTTTCCTGGTGACATCCGATTTGGTTTGGGATATTTTGGAGTTTTGGGGGGCGTCCCAGATTTGTTTGGAAGATTTGGGCTGGGACATGTGATCAAGGCACTCCCTCGATCTAACCCTAGGAGCGTGTTTCTGTCTTGCTTGGGGCATTATTGGCATGATAGCCCCCTCCCCCCCCTCCCCTCACGTAACGCCCCTCCCCCTCCCAGTGCGCTGCGGGCACCTCCGCCGTGCGCATCGAGCACACGGCGGGGAGAGAGCCGCTACATCTCGTGAGGAGTGCCCTGGAGGCCGTCTGTCGGGTCGGGCGAAAGGGGGGGTAGCAAAGGGGGGGTTTGAGAATTAGCTCACGTAGCTGATTTTCCCGGCGCCTCCTGGCGCCGGACGCGCCCATGTATCGAGGAATGAGCCCCTCGGTCTGGCCGAAACCAGCTGCATGCAGCAAATTTCGTAACCCCCCCTTTCCCAAGCCCCCCCTTTCGTCCGGCCCGAGTCTGGGCCACCCCGAGAATCCTGGGGGTACCTTGGGCCAGGGGTACTTCTATAGCAACGCCCGGCTCGCGGTGCCCGGAGGTCGCCAGGCAGCGCGCGCGAGGGGGCGGGGGCGGGGGCGCGGTGTGCGGACTCTTTGAGAGGGCGCGCGGGGGGGCTCCTGCGGGGCTTCTTTGCGCGCAATGTCTATATCCTCATCCAGTGCGTCTTGGAGTTTCGGACTCTCTTCCCAAGAAACATGAGGCGCACTGGATATGGGTTAGAATCTGCCTCCCAAAGGCTCAATTTTTATCCATATCCAGTGCGCCTCGGCCTTGCGGCGCCCCTTCCAAGAAAATCCCAGACGCAGTGGATATGGATATAGATATTGCCCGCATTCTGTTCGGTCGGGCGCGTCCTCCTGCAGGCGGATTTCGGGCCAAAAATTCACAAGAGTCAGAGAGCATTCAAGAATGGTCAAACATATAGGACGACAGTCGTCCGCGTATCTTTTTGTTGGGCGATTTGGGAGTATCCCTCGACAGGCCCGACTTGAGGCTCCTGCGAGGGCGCTGTATATGCAGGCCAGGAGGGTTCCCCGGGAGCCCCTCCCGCTCCCCGGGTGGCCTGCAGCCTCGCCCCGCCCCCGGCCAGGGTGCGCTCCGAGCCTGCCCCCGGGGTCGGCCCTCCGTGCTGAGCATTTCGTTCCCGGGCCGCGTCGGTCAGGGAAACGAGGGGGGTGATGACTAGGGGGGGGGGTGGATATCACGGCGGGGGCCATGATATTTCCCCAGATTTCATGGCGCCCCTTGTTTCATTACGTCCCTGGCCCCCCCGCTGGGCCGCGCACATGCCGCCGGCCATGATTTGCACCCCCCCCCCTTGGACACCCCCCTCTTGGCCGCTCCCGAGTCAGGCCCGCGGCGATCAGGGCGCCAGAGACGGGGGGTGCAGCAAACGGGGGCATGGGGAACGCCGATTTCCACGTTTGGCTATGCCCCCGTTCTGGGGGGGCCCTGGGCGCCGTAGGCGGGGGCATGTGAGAAAGCCTGAGCCCCCGTTGAGCTAAACCCCGGTGTAGGAAGCCCCGAGGCGAGGAGAACGTCCACGAGCGCACAGCAAACTTCGGACGGTCACGCTGAATTCCGAGGGCGAGCAGTTAGCACGCCCGAGGAGACGGGGGTCGCAAAGCTCCCGGACGAGCAAAGTCAGAGCCCCCCCCAGGCCAGACATGGAAGAACGCCCTTTGGCCCAGACCCCTGGAACTCTTCAAGACAGTTCAAACCAGACACTCCCAAGATCAGACCCCCCCACTTTGGGAGTGAAAGCCGGGGTGCCTTTCCTAGGGTGCCCCTGCACCCTTGCCTTCCGGCCCATGCCAGCCCTTTATCGTGAATGTTGGGCTTTTATCTTCGGCTGGACAGAACGCTACGGGGGCAGGCGCGGCATAGATCCAGAAGACAGGGCTTATTTGATCTGCGAATGGCTACTCCGAGTTTCTTAGTAAGCGTCGGGGGGGCGTCACCCCCGCCGACAGCCCCACATCGACCTCCGTCGCGGGCAGCCACCGCGCGCCAAATGTGGTCCGACCCCCGTCTCGGCGCGTCGACGGGCGAGGTTGACCTCCGTCGGGGGGGTACCCCCCCAAGCTTATTACGAAAAGACCCAGAGTGATCACTGGCATTTCCTGGTAGCCATGCAAAGGGCGTGGGCATGGGCGCCCCGGGGGGGAAGAAGAAGGAGGGGGAGGGGGAGGGGAACGGCGACGAAGGCGACGGCGATGGATGGCAGGAGGAGGAGCTGGGGAAGGGGGAGGAGGACGGGCCAGTGGCTTCAACCACTGGAGCCCCATGCGGGCCCGATCCTCGACCCCGCCAGTGCCCACTCCCAGAAAGTCTTGCGTCAAGTCGGGCCTGTCCCTCTACGGAAGGAAGATTCGGAAATAGTCAAAAAAGAATACGGGGACGATTTTTCAAGGATTTGTTTTACCATCTCGGTGTGTTCGCTGACATTCCCAATTTTTCGTCCAAGATTCCCCCCTGTAGAGGAACAGGCCCGACGTAAGCCTTGCGTCCTCGCGCACCGCCCTCTGAAAAAGCAGGTGCACCTGGGACCCCCAGGATTCCCACGTGTGCCTCTCGCGCCTCCCTGCCCCGACCTCCGCGCCGCCCTTCCTCTCCCCATGGCATCGCTCGAACGTGTGCATTTCTTCTCGGCGAGAACCATCGAGGACCATCCTGGACCATCGAGCAAAAAAACACACACGAAACCGAAACATGTACGGGAGATGGACGTTCGAGCGACGGCAAGCTCCTTTTCCTTCCCACGGGGGTCCAGCGCCGCTCTCGACGCGCTCCTGCTTCGTGCTCCTCCCCGCTCGCTCCGAACAGTGCGACCGCTGGACCTCGCCACGCGAGAGGTTTTGTCATTCGTTCGTTTGCCGATCGGCGCGGGCCCTCGAGCCCCCGCCCCTCCCCCCCCGCTGTGGAGTGGATCTTGGCTGCTCCTGGCGCCCGTTTCGCGCGGGTGGCGTCCCTGCCCCCAGGAGACCCCCTGGTTCCAGACAGTCGCATGCGATGCAGAGGTCCGGAGCCGGACCCTTCCCCCCTCCCCCTCTCCCCCCTTTCCGCCCAGCGTCGAGACGCCGAAGAGAGCAGACGCTCACCAGGGAGCCAAGAGCCCATGGTGGGCCTGTTTTCCACCACCACCACCAGGAGCTGGGAGGGCGGAAAAGGGGGGGAGGAGGAGGAGGAGGAGGAGGACGAAGGACGAAAAGAAGGCGGAGGAGGAGGAAGAGGAGGAGGAGGAGGAGGAGGAGGAGGAGGAGGAGGCGAGGGCGAGGCACTTTCCAGGGCCGCCCTCGGCAGCCCCGCCTCCCGCCCCGTCCTGGCCCTCGGCCGTGGGCCACTAGCTTCGCAGCCTCGGCGTCCGCTCGGGCGTCCAAGGGCCCTGCGCCATGCGCCTCCTCGGCACCCTGTCGCGCAGTGCGCCGTCGCCGTCGCGCTCGTCGTGGTCGCCGTCGTCGTCGTCCTCGTCGTCGTCGTCGTCGTCGTCGTCGTCGCCCTCATCCCCCGAGGCGAAGGGGAGGGAAGGATGCAGGGGTGGAAGAGTTGGAGTTTGGGAGGGGTTTTCGTATGGGCCCGCTGTCGGTGGGATCTAGAGGGGGGGGATAGGGAGGTGAAGGCAGGGTCTGGGTGGCGTGCAAAATTGCCACGTCGGAGGTACATCTGGCTTCTAGTGCTGCATGCGCGATGGAAGAAGAGAAGGTGGTCGGGCAGCGGGGAGGAGGCATAGAAATTGCTAGGTGACGGCGTCAATGACAGAACCACCGTGTCTCGATACGTGCAGACCGTTCGGGCTTCGGGCGCCTTCGGAACCTTCGGGGGCAAAACCCCACCGAAAGGCCGCCCAGCGACCCACTCCGGGCATCGCTCGGGGCTCTCGTGCGCCCTGGGCGGAGCCCCGCGGCCTGCAGGCTGGCCGCGGGGCAGAGCCAGCAGGGCCCGGCAGAGCCAGGCCCCGAGCGTGCGATGATGCCCTCGCGCGCGAGGCCCGCGGTGGCCGAGGCACGCCGCGCCCCCAGAAGCGCCCCTCCGAGTGACCTCCGCGCTCCTCGCGGCAGCACGGCCCCCCCCCCGCAGCCTCCTCCTCCTCCTCCTCCTCCTCCTCCGCCTCCTCCTCCTCCGCCTCCTCCTCCTCGTCCTCCTCCTCCTCCTCCTCTTCTCCTCCTCCTCCTCCTCCTCCTCCTCCTTCTCCTCCTCCTTCTCCTCCTCCTCCTCCTCCTCCTCGTCCTTCTCCTTCCCCTCCTCCTCCTCGTCCTTCGCCCTCCCCCCGCGTGCCCGCTCGCATCGCGCAGCGCACGAGGACGCGTGGGCCGTGCCGCCGAAGGGTGCCCAGGGCCCAGCGGCGCCGTTCGTACGCACGCACGCGTGCACGCGCGCACGCGCGTGCTGGCACATCCTCTGAAGCTCTAACATTCGGACCGAGGTAGAGCTTGCGAGGTCGGTTCGTGGAGGGTACCCGCAGGGTCTTCGTGTCTGTTGCGCGAACTCGCTCTAAGGCCTCCTAGGTGGGGTGCGAGTAGATGGGGTCGACGGATCGCGCCTCATTGCCGATGCATCGACGATGCGGCTCGATGCGGAGCCCGATTTGCTTCACGCCGACGTTGCCGATGCGTCGCCGACGTTGCTCATGTATCGCCGGTGCATCGCCGATGCATCGCCGATGCCTTGGCGGTGCGGCGCGATCCTTCGAACCCATCTACTCGAACCCCATCCAGGAGGCCTCTGCGTTCGCATCTTTGGGGAGAGTGCCCCTGGATGTTTTGTGTGTCTTGACAGGCGGAGGGTCTCATGTCCAAGGAGGATGCTCTTCTGGCCCAGGTCCCACTGTACACGATCTGAGGGTTCTCCGGCTGTCCCGCGGCCTTCCTTCTCCTCGCCCCTCGCCCGCCCGCGCCCCTGCACATCAATACACGGCTCGTTGGACCCAACCCGCCGCAGAACAAAAATCAAGGGCAGCAGCGTGGAATAGGGATTCCCCGCTGCAGTGTCCCGGCGGAGAACCGCGGGCCACGCGGGGGCTCCTCGTCGGGCCCTCCGCCAGTGGCTCCTCCTTCTTCTCCTTGTCGTCCCCCAATCGACCCCCTTGAAACCCTGCGGGGGGCAGTCCCACGAGCGTGGCTGAAATGTGGCTGAGGCAACTCCACTCGCCTGAACCCCCCCGGGAGAAACGATCAGAAGGGGGGTTGCACTCGAATGCGCGACGACCTTGCGCGGTTGCTCACGCAGGCCGCTTGCGCGGCAGACCGCGTCACCGTAACAGCGCCTACGCGGGACCTTACGAGGGCGGCATGCGCGCGAGTGCCCGCGCAATCGACCCCCTTGAAACCCTGCGGGGGCAGTCCCACGAGCGTGGCCGAGATGTGGCTGAGGCAATTCCACTCGCCTGACCCCCCAGGGAGAAACGATCAGAAGGGGGGTTGCACTCGATTACGCGACGACCTTGCGCGGTGGATCACGCAAGCCGCTCGCGCGGCAGACCGCATTAAGGCGCCTACGCGCCACCTTCCGCGGGCAGCTTACGCACAAGTGCACGCGCAATCGACCCCCTTGAAACCCTGCGGGTGCGCCCTCCCGCGGGCGCTTTGAAATGTGTCGCCCGGTTGCGGTTGCGGTTGCGCCCTCCCGCGGGCGGGTTGAAATGTGTCGCCCGGTTGCGGTTGCGGTTGCGGTTGCGGTTGCGCCCTCCCGCGGGCGGGGTGAAATGTGTCGCCCGTTTGCGGTTGCGGTTGCGCCCGCGGGTGCTTTGAAATGTGTCGCCCGGTTGCGGTTGCGGTTGCGGTTGCGCCCTCCCGCGGGCGGGTTGAAATTTGTCGCCCGGTTGCGGTTGCGGTTGCGCCCGCGGGCGCTTTGAAATGTGTCGCCCGGTTGCGGTTGCGGTTGCGGTTGCGCGCTCCCGCGGGCGCTTTGAAATGTGTCGCCCGGGTTGCGGTTGCGGTTGCGCGCCCGCGGGCGCTTTGAAATGTGTCGCCCGGTTGCGGTTGCGGTTGCGGTTGCGCGCTCCCGCGGCGCTTTGAAAAGCGGTTGCGCGCGCTCCCGCGGGCGGGTTGAAATGTGTCGCCCGGTTGCGGTTGCGGTTGCGCGCCCGCGGGCGTTTTGAAATGTGTCGCCCGGTTGCGGTTGCGGTTGCGGTTGCGCGGTCCCGCGGGCGTTTTGAAATGTGTCGCCCGGTTGCGGTTGCGGTTGCGCGCTCCCGCGGCCGGTTTGAAATGTGTCGCCCGGTTGCGGTTGCGGTTGCGGTTGCGTGCTCCCGCGGGCGTTTTGAGATGTGTCGCCCGGTTGCGGCTGCGGTTGCGCGCTCGCGGGCGCTTTGAAATATGTCGCCCGGTTGCGGTTGCGGTTGCGGTTGCGCGCTCCCGCGGGCGGGTTGAAATGCGTCGCCCGGTTGCGGTTGCGGTTGCGCGCTCCCGCGGGCGTTTTGAAATGTGTCGCCCGGTTGCGGTTGCGGTTGCGGTTGCGCGCTCCCGCGGGCGTTTTGAAATGTGTCGCTCGGCCGCGGTTGCGGTTGCGCGCCCGCGGGCGCTTTGAAATGTGTGGCCCGGTTGCGGTTGCGGTTGCGGTTGCGCGCTCCCGCGGGCGGGTTGAAATGCGTCGCCCGGTTACGGTTGCGGTTGCGCGCTCCCGCGGGCGTTTTGAAATGTGTCGCCCGGTTGCGGTTGCGGTTGCGCGCTCCCGCGGGCGCTTTGAAATGTGTCGCCCGCTTGGGTTGCGGTTGCCGCCGCCGGGTTGCGCTCCCGCGGGCGGTTTGAAATGTGTCTCCCGAGTTGTCCCCTGACGTTCAGTCAGTCAGTCATCAGTCAGCCGGCGGGCACGGAATTTCACCCGGCTCCGCCGGGAAAAACGTGCGCGCGGGCACGCGCACGAGCACCGACCCGTGCGCACATTGTACCTGTGATGTTCCAACCTTTTTCAGCCTTGCTCACTAGAAAGAATTCCGAGCACCAGAAAAGCACCGACGCTAGCGGGTTTTCACGTGTCGGGCCCTGTGAGACTTTTGTCCGACACTCTTTCGACACGTTTTCGACCCTTTTCCAGGTGCTCGAAGTTATTTCAGGGATGTGGTCCGTAAGTACGATGGGAGCAACACCACATCATGTAAGCATGCACGCACCGTGAGTGCGGGTGCACCGCTCTCTCTGTCTCTCTCTCTCTCTCTCTCTCTCTCTCTCCATATATATAAAACATATAGAGAAGCTCTTATTGTGTTCCTTGGGCTCTGTCGCCAGAGATCACATGTGGCCTTGTTGGAACAGCGGCGGGTGTTGGGTGCAGGGTGGTTCCTCTGGGGCTGTTCTACACCCCGCGCGAGTGTGGTGGTGGGCGATGTGTGCATGTGCATGCCTTTACTGATGCCAGGGAAGCCTGTGCGCGCGCCCGACCGGGAAAATGTGGGATCGTGCAGGCCTGATTTCACGGCTACGAATTTGCGCACAGATTTGCATGGAAGCAGTATCGTGTGCTGCCACGCGCACCCTCTGCACATTTCCAGAACGCGCGCGCGCACTTCCACGCATACACGAATGCCCATTGCTCGGCCAAGCTGGCGGGTCTGCCTGGCTGGGCCACTGCCCGTCAAGGCGAGACCAGCCCCCGGAGGGCAGACACGCGCCATATCATGCAGAAGTCAGGGCCTGCGCAGGAGGAGCCCTGTGAAGTTCCTCGTGAGACAGCAGGCAGCCCTTTCGGCGAGTCTCGGGGAAGACGATGCAGGAGGCGGGGGTAAACCACCCCGACCTCCATGACTAGCGTTTGCTCAGCAGTCCTGGGCGTCTACATGAGACAGCGCGGCCCTGCTCGAGTCCTTCCTTGGATACGATTAACGTCAGGGCTTCGCATGTCGGGGTGCTTGTTACGAGGGTGGTTCTTCTGCCTCCTAGGAGGCCAGAGAAGGAGTAGGACGAGGAGGACGGCAGAGGAGATCACGGAGGAGACAACGGAGGATAATGAGGAGGATTCTGAGGAGGCACGATATGACCCCAGCGGTTGCTGGCCGAAGGCAATCCCCATGATCGCCATCCCCATGTCGAACATGCAGGTCGGCACCTCGGCCTGGGCCATGGGCATCATGATGCCGCATGCGCCGAACAGCGCGACCACTGTGGTTGAAGTCGAGGCGGGGCCCCCCGGCCGCAGCGGCTCCCCGCATCTCCTGAGATACGCTGTCGTTCCATCTGGGCGCTTCACCTCGACTTCGTCCCCGGGGGGCTCGTTCTCGGCCCCCAGAGCCACCGACAGTGAGTCGGGGGCGGATGACGATGCTGATGCTGATGCTGCTGCTGCTGCTGCTGCTGCTGCTGCTGCTGCTGAGGAGGAGGAGGAGGAGGAGGAGGAGGAGGAGGAGGAGGAGGAGGAGGACGGGGAGGAGGAAGAGGAGAAGGAGGAGGGAGGAGGAGGACGGGGAGAGGAGGGAGGGAGGAGGAGGAGGAGGAGGGAGGAGGAGGAGGAGAGCGGTGGCTGCTCCACTTCCGACCTCGCCCTGCCCTCCCCGAGCCCGCGGGGGCCTCCCAGATCCCAGAGCCCTCTGGAGTCCTCCAGCTCCAGCGCTCTCGGAGACTTCCACCATCCCGCCGGGCTGTGGCTCCTCCTCCTCGTCCTCCTCCTCGTCCTGATCCTCTTCCCCTCTCCCGTTCCCTCTCCGCCCCTCCTCCTCCAGAGAACGCCCTCCTCGTCGCAGTGGACCCGTCGGTGTGGCGGGCCGGGTCTTCCGCCCGATGCGGTCTCAGCTTGGCTTCCCGAGATTCGGACGTGCTCGTGGCGCCAACGCCAGAGAGCTGATTGTCGTTCGGCAGGGCTGGTGCAGTGAGCACTCCCAGCGGCTCTCCACGGAGGGAGGGCGCGGGTGCTTCTCCTAAGCGTGCGCGTCTCGCTCCTGTGTTTTGTGGCACGTCCGCCTCGAACGCTCCGATGTTCCAGCCTGCTTCAGCCTTGAGCACCAGACACAATTTCGAGCACGAAGGTCGGAGGTGGACAGACCTCCTACCCTGACACGTCGATTAGTGAATTGTCTGTTTTCGGTTCTCGAGAGGGCGCCGCGGCCGTCATTTTCCACGCTTGCGCCCGCCAGGTTAGGGCCCGAGGGCGTTTTCACTGAACCACGTTTTACTAAAGGGAGGTCTGTCCATCCCCGTATTTTGGCACATCCGCCTCGAACGATCTGATGTTCCAGCCTGCGTTAGCCTTGATCACCAGAAACAATCTCGAGCACGACGAAGATCGGATGTTGATAGACCTCCTACTCTGACACGTCGATTAAGGATTTGGCCGTTTTCGGTTCGCGCGAGGGCGTCGTGGCTGTCATTTTGCGGGTTTTGGTCCCAGGCCGTTTTCACTAAGGGGAGGTTTGCTAAAGGGAGGTTTGTCCACCGCCGAGAAGCAGAGACCGAAACTTGAGGGTTTTCACGTGGCGGGACCTGGGAGACGCTCGCTCGACACGGTTTCGACACCGCTTCGACATTTTTGTCGACGTTTTTTCCGGGTTCTCGAGATTATGTATGGGATGTGGCCTTGAAGTACGATTGGAGCAACATGAGGCGGGTGCTTATTCTAAGCGTGCGTCTCGCTGTGGTATTGGGAACATCCGCCTCGAACATCCCGCCATCTTCCCGCTCAAGTGAAGTATCTAAGACGCATGCGGCGAATCACCGCCGCTCCCTGCCTCTTTGGATGCGCTCATGAAGCCAAACGTTTGGCCCAAGTCTGGACAAACTATTGGACTATGTGCTCCCCCAGCCGTTATGGAACCACTTGGGAGAACTCTGGGGAGAGGAGACGAGAGGAGGAGAGAGAGGATACGGAGGAGGAGGAAAACGAGGAGGTGGGTCACGGGCGGGACGACGGCAACAACAACAACAACGCAACATGCAAAATGTTCACCACGAATCCCGACTTCAGCCACGCACCCAATGAATGACCGCTTGGCCCCCTGGCGCGAACGACGTCGCACCACCGAGTTGGCTGCAGCGTTGTGAGGAGCTCCCAGAGTAAGATCTTACACCCCTCGGCCCGGTGGGCGGGCGGACTCCGGAGGCTGCCGCCATGCCGCCGACCCCCCAGGAAGAGAAGATGCGCGGCTTCAGGTGTCACATGCGCTTGTTGCCGCTTCCCGTCGCGCGGCCTGCGCGCAGCGGTTGCCGATTCGGCCTCCTGCCTCCGGGCTTGCTGCGGGGCTCTTCGGGTGCCTCGCGGAAGCCCAGGGGGGGAGGGGGGGGGGAGGGCCTCTTGCAGCCTCTTCGGGGCGCCGGCCTTCTTGTCGTCTCCAGTGGCCTCTTAGGCTGGTTTGGAGCCCTTCGTGGGCCGCCTCCAGGCCCTCGCTCAGGCGCCTTGGGCCGGCGCGGGGGCGGCCTCTCAGGCGCCTTGGATTTTAGACGCCTGAAGGCGAGAACGCGGAAGTCACCCCAAGCTTTTCTCGGAAATCCACGGTTTTTGACTCTCGAGGACCTCGGGGGTCCTCTTGGGGCCCCCTGGGGCGTCCTTGGCCGTCTTGCGGACATCTAGGGTGTCCTTGACGGGACTTCGAGGCTGCGAGGGCCACGCAGGGCGTTGGTGAGCTCGTGCCCCCCCCCCCCACCCCCGCCCGGTTGTTTGGCCCCAGGGGAAGGGTCAAGGACCCGACGATTGGCGTCTACTGAACGGCTCTGGGCGTTTACTAAGCAGCCCTGCCCTGTATGAACCCTTCTTTGGATGCGTTTACTAAACGGCTTCGCGTGTCGGGGTGTTTATTATCGGGGTGGATATTCTGCCCTCTACACTCTACAAGAGGGAGGAGGACAACCCCAATGGGAAAGCTCGCATGGCGGCCCCGCCCCATGTCGGCACACCCCTCTCACGCTTCGTGGCCCCTTAGGGAGCCCCACCTAAGGCCCCAATGGGAAAGTTTGCATGACGGCCCCGCCCCATTTCGGCACAGCCCGTACACGTTTCGTGGCCCCATCGGTATTTCCATCTGATGCCCCCAGTGGGAAAATTCGCATGGCGGCCTCGCCTCATTTCGGCACACCCCTCACACGCTTCGTGGCCCCACATAGGTAGCTCCACCGAAGGCCCCAATGGGAAAGTTGGCATGGCGGCCCCGCCCCATTTCGGCGCACCCTTCACAGGCTTCGTGGCCCCATAGGGAGCTAGCTCAACCGAAGGTCCCAGTGGCAGCGGGGTTCGCATGGCGCCACCGCGCCCATTTCGGCGCACCCCTCACACGTTTCGTGGCCCCACATAGGGAGCCCCACCGAAGTTTGCATGGCGGCCCCGCCCCATTCCGGCGCACCCCTCACCCTTGGGGAGCCCCACCGAAGGTCCCAGTGGCAAAGTCTGCATGGCGGTTCTGCCCCATTTCGGCGCACCCCTCACACGTTTCGCTGCCCCTTAGGGAGCTCCACCGTCGGCCCCAGTGGGAAAGTTGGCATGGCGGCGCCGCCCCATTTCAGCGCACCCCTCACACGTTCCGTGCCCCCCCTATACGGAGCCCCACCGAAGGCCCCAGTGTCAAAGTTCGCATGGCGGCCCCGCCCCATTTCTGCGCACCCTCACACGTTTCGTGGCCCCACAGGGAGCCCCACCGAAGGCCCCAGAGGCAAAGTTTGCATGGCGGCCCCGCCCCATTTCGGCGCACCCCTCACACGTTTCGTGGCCCCATGAGGAGGTCCACCGAAGGCCCCAGTGGCAAAGTTCGCATGGCGGCCCCGCCCCATTTCGGCGCACCCCTCACACGTTTCGCTGCCCCATGGGGAGCTCCACGGAAGGTCCCAGTGGCAGGGTTCGCATGGCGACAGCGCGCCCCATTTCGGCGCACCCCTCACACGTTTCGTGGCCCCATGAGGAGTTCCACCGAAGGCGGGGTCACAACTGCGGTACCCAGAATTGCATATGGTTGGGCCCTTCGCCAGGATATTTTGTTCGTATGCTTGGATAAGTTGGGGGCATGTTGGGGGTAGTTAACATTTTTAACCCACAATCCCCCTGTAGGGGGACATGCCGCACCGACGTGTAGCGGAGGGCTTCCATGGGTCTTTGCGAGGTCCCTTTCTTGGGCGCCTCCTGGGGCCTTCATTGAGGCCTCTTGAGCCGTCTCGGGGTCCTCTCGAGCCGCCTTGTGGCCCTCTCGGGGGTCATCTCGCGCCGTGTTGGGCTGGTCGGGGGGGGCCTCTCGGACCGTCTTGGACCGTCTCAGACCGTGTGGCGTCTCCTCTGCCCCTCGGGGGGCTGTACTTTGCGGCGGGTTGGTGAACGGTACGTTCCCTGCTCCCGCTTGCGGAAGCTGGGGCTTGCGCCGATCGCCTCTCGTTGCTTGGCATGGCTCCCTGCTCGCCCTTGTGTCCCTCGGGGCCTCCCCCGTCGTTGCTGCTTGCTGATGGATCGACACGCGCCAGATCGGCACTGACCGCGGGGCGACGTCGGGGTCTCTGCGTTTCGGGATGAGCGCTCCGCTTGGGCCAGAAGGCGCCCGAAAAGGCGAGAACGCGAACGTCATTGAACAACCAATGGGGGACATCACCTCGTGCGGCCATCTCGGCGGTGCTCTTGGAGCACTCGCGGGGAGGAGGAAGGGGTGGAGGGCATGCTCACCGTTATCGATAACGGCTCGATCGCCTCCACCTCCCTGATGCGTGCATACTCTACGCACTCACAGGCTTCTCTGCCAGCATGCTCATCGCCACGCCTATTCCAGGGCTGAACCAAACGGTGTTGCTCGTTTTCGTTATGTTTTCGTTTTCCCTCGCTTTTGTCTCGAATCCGCCTTTACCGCAAAACGAGGTCGAAACGGCAACGGCCCACGAAATCGCCCAAAACACCGATTAGGTCCAGCCCTGGCCTATTCCTATCGTGCGTTTCTTTGCCTGCCTTTTCCTCTCACAGCGCCTGTGTCGGTGTGTCGGCCTCCCTGCTTCCGGCACCTTGACACACCAGCCACCCAGCCAATGTCGGTCGAACGTGAGGGTGAGGAGGAGGAGGAGGAGGAGGAGGAGGAGGAGGAGAAGGAAGATGTCGACGAGGACGAGGACGAGGACGTCGACGAGGACGAGGACGAGGAAGACGACGAGGACAAGGACTTGGACGAAGACGAGGACGAGGACGAGGACGAGGACGACTACGAGGACGAGGTTCCCGCGCTCTCCATCCCTGCACCCCGCTCTGCCCGGCGCTCCTTCTGTAGCCGGGGGGCCGCTCTCTGGGATCCCCTGAGCTCACCGGGCGCGTTCCACTGCTCGCAAAGTGCCTACTTGCAGGCGTCCGTGCAAAAAACAATGTTTCTTTTGTGCAAGCTGTCGTAGATCCCCCGCGGCGGATCCAGGCCGTTCACGAGCAGCTAATTTGCGAGTACAGTGGGGGCGCGCATCAAGAAACCAGCTGCTTTTCATCAGGGTACCCTGGGTGTCTTCGCTACGCTCGTTGCGCGGTGACTTCCCGCGGCCGTTGAAGAAAATGCTGCGTTCAGGGTGCTCTGGGTCCCCCCCCGTGTGCATCTCGCGCGCGGGGTTTCAGGGTTGGGTTTCTTGCGAGGGTTTCTTGCGGCCGCGACCGCACTGTAGTGGAACGCGCTCGTCCATGAGCGGCCGCCTGCAGGGACCCGAGGCGGAGGCTCCGGCGGAGGCGGACGTGTCGCTGGACACGCCGACGGTGTCGGACGTGGAGGAGGCGCGCCGAGCTCCCTCGCTATTCGAGTATGGAGGTGCAAGGTTACCAGACAGGATCGCGTCGTAAAAAATCAGGATGCCAAGTTTTCCTGTATTTTCGGCTCCTGGGGGCCCTCGCCGGTCCCGGGGAGCGTCAAAAAACGACTCCGGATGAAAAACCAGCCCTGCAGGCATGGGGAAAGGGTCTGGACTTCGGGGCACGCCGTCCTGAAAAAATCAGGACGTCGCATGTCTGCGTCGGAAGTCTGCGAGCGTTCTCGTCGGTCCGGAGCGGTTTTCCAGCCTCCGGATGCGCTCCAGCAGCTGCGCCTCGCCGGCAGCGCTGCGGGCGTGCCCGAGTCGCCCCGAGCGGCCGCCCGAGGGCCGAGCTCTCATTCGGAAGCCAGGGGGCAACGCCCTGTGGGGTCCGAGCAGACGGGGTCGGAGGTTCGCGCCGCACCGCCGATGCCTCGACGACGTGGCTCGATGTGGAGGCCGCTGATCTCCACATCGATTCCCAATGGCCCACTCATCGCCGATACGGGCCCGACAGCCCACCCCGCCCCTGAGCGTGAGGTTTCGTTCTCGGGGGCCTCTCGCTCATAGAAGTGTCGGCGGTATCTCGCCGATGTCAGCTCGGTGTTTATCAGGGGGGAAAAAAACACACAGACACAATTAATCGTCGATTCCCCAGGAAATATGGGAAAATATGGGAAGTGGGGGGGAAGACAAAAACCCAGAAAGCATGGGGAAATATGGGGGATCCTTTTATCTGTGTGTATTTATCTGTGTGTGTGTGTGTCCTGGGCCCCCTTCAGTTTACCCTGCGAGCCAGCCCCCCCCCGTAGTGTGTCCCGTCAGTACCGCGGGCGCCAGGACCCGTACCTCATGGAGTTGAGTTTCCCCTGTCCCGTGGGTGTGAGGGGGAGGACAAAACACACAAAACACACACACACAAAAACATACAAAACACACAAAAACACACAAACACACACACACACACACACACACACACGCACGCACACACACACACACACACACACACACACACACACACACACACACACACACACACACACACACACACACACACACACACACACACACACACACACACACACACACACACACACACACACACACACACACACACACACACACACACACACACACACACACACACACACACACACACACACACACACACACACACACACACACACACACACACACACACACACACACACAACAACACACACAACAACACACAACAACACACACTGTGGGAAAAACGCACAAACAAAACACGGCGGGAAAAAACACAAAAAACAGTGTGGGAAAAAAACAAAAAAAAACGCACGCAAAAACACTGTGTGTGTGTGTTCCCACAGACGGTGTGTTTTTCCCACGGACGAGACGCTTTTCTGAGCGGCTGGATACTTCTGGGCAAGTGGACGCGCTTCCTGCCGCCAGCAGTACGTTCGCTGTTTCCTCCGTTCTCGCCTCGGGCCTTCCGGTTTTGCGGGCAGGCCAGACTCTTCGACACCCCATCTCCCGCGCATCATCGCCCGGCAGTCCGCCCCGCCCAGGAACGTGCGGATTCGCTGTCCAGGGCCTTTCACCGATCTATCGGCGATGCATTGGTTTCGCCGGTGCCAAGAGTGAATTCAGCGTGGATTTGCGTCTTCGTTTTTCATTTTTATTTTCCTTTTTTTCTGATATGCGCACGTCAATCGATCATGTGGCTCGGGCGTTCGTGTGAATGCCGTGTGGCCAGCGAATTTCGAATGTCTTCCGTGCCCTTGATTCTTCCTCATCGTATTCATTTATCTTATTCCTCTTGCCTGCATTGTTTTTCTCTTCATTTCCCTCCCGCTGTCATTTTCTTTTCTCAGGGCCTGCGACAGGATCCAACAGGGCGCCGGGAAGACTGCAAGTGAGCTCGAGGAGAGTCCAGCAGGTCCCGAGAAGGATTGCAAACAGGCCCTAGGGTCCCAAGACAGGCTTTGTAGGGGTCCAAAACAACTTGCAGACCTGTCTCCTCGCATATGTTCTGACGCGTTTCGGCCGTGGTCCGCGGGATTCTACTGTTCATCCGCCTTTTTGCCTTCATTTCCGACGCCTCGCGTATTTCCGCCAGCCAGGGCAAAAGCAATCACCAGGCGAGTTGCTTCGATCAGCATGTGTAGCAGCATGCGGCGCCGCAGCGAACCGAATGTGTTTTCATCGGTTCTGCACGGGGGGAGGAAGAGGAGGTGGAGGAAACGAAGGAACAAATATGGTGGCGAAGGACCAGTCGTAACGAAAGAAGAGAGACAGCAAAAGGATGGACGCGTGCTGGAGGAAACAGCAACATGCTAGAGCATGAGAAGGTCGGGGGGATGATGAGGGACCTGAGGGGGGGACGAGGGTTACGAGGAGCCAGGGGGAGGTAGCTACCGCATTGGTGATCCGTGCAGAACGCCAGCGCGCCGCATCCTTTCGTAAACGAGGATGTAGGAATGTGCCAGATGGGGGGGTGGGGGGAGCGTGGGGGAGGTAGGAGGACATGAGGGTAAGAACGCTCAGGACGAAGCAGTTCCGGAGACGGTGCCCGGGCAATTTGTGTTGATCAGAAACGTGCGCCAGCGTGGTGCTCAACCAAGAGGGCGACGCTGTTTACGTTAGAAACGTGAGGACGGCGCAGGAGGAATCGGGGGATTAACAGCAGCGGGGAAGGAGGACAAGGAGGAGGATGACGGGGAAACGGAGGAGGGGCGGGATGAGGACGAGGAGTAGGAAAAGGAATGATGGGAGAGAAAAAATCACGACGACGGCCAGAATCAATCATGGAGGTTTTTGTTTGTTTTCCGCACGCGGCTCTTGTTAGAAGCCCCTTGGGGTGATTTGTGGGCCATTGTGGAGCTAATTTGGAGCCATTTTGGGAGAGCCTGCGGGGTCCTCTTGAGGCTGTTTCGGGCCTCCTTGGGATCCTCTTCGGGGTCTCGTGGGCCCGTCTTGGAGGCCTTGGGGGCCCTCTCGGGGCCATCTTGGAAACGCCGTCAGTCAAAGAGTACGGGGGGAGGGCCCTTGCAGCGTCCCCTCGCTGGAGCCGCCCACGTCGCCTCTTGGCGCTCTCTTGGGCCTTCTTCGGCTGCTCTTGAGCGCTCTCGGCGCCGTCTTTGGGCCTGTCGGGTTCTTCTGGAAGGCCATCTCAGGCCAGCGTGGCCATCTAGAGGCCTCAAGAGCCCATGGAAAACGAAAAGGCGACGAGGCACAACACACAGCACGCAATGGTTTTCATTTTTCCCGGAAAGGGCGCGGGCCCAGGGTTCTCTTTTAGTATGTAAACATGTCCCCGGTGCCCAACTTGAAAGAGGCCGGCGGATTCTTTCCCTGATAAATATCGAGGTCGAAGGAGGCCGGCGGATTAAAATTTGAGGATGTCTCCGGCGAAACGCTTGTTTTTGAAATCCCGATCGATAAATCACAGGGTGCGGGACACCTCAGCACGACCACACCCCCAGCATGACCACACCCCAGCACGACCACGCCCAGCACGACCACGCCCCAGCACGACCACACCCCAGCACGACCACACCCCAGCACGACCACACCCCAGCACGACCACACCCCAGCACGACCACACCCCAGCACCAGCACGACCACACCCCAGCACGACCCGATCGATAAATCACAGGGTGACCACCCCAGCACGACCACACCCCAGCACGACCCCACCCCAGCACGACCCCACCCCAGCACGACCACGCCCCAGCACGACCACACCCCAGCACGACCACACCCCAGCACGACCACACCCCAGCACGACCCCACCCCAGCACGACCCCACCCTAGCACGACCACACCCCAGCACGACCACACCCCAGAACGACCACACCCCAGCACGACCCCACCCAAGCACGACCCCACCCCAGCACGCACGACCACACCCCAGCAGGACCCCACCCCAGCACGACCCCACCCCAGCACCCCACCCCAGCAAGACCACACCCCAGCACGACCACACCCCAGCACGACCTCACCACAGCACGACCACACCCCAGCACGACCACGCCCCAGCACGACCACGCCCCAGCACGACCACGCCCCAGCACGACCACCCCCCAGCACGACCACCCCCCCAGCACGACCACCCCCCAGCACGACCACCCCCCAGCACGACCACACCCCAGCACGACCACTCCCCAGCACGACCACACCGCCTTGGTTGAGTGGTTGCCTGTCGTCGTGGAGTGTTTCGTGGGGTGTCTCGTGGAATGTTTCGCGGGGTGTCTCGTGGAATGTTTCGTGAGGTGTCTCGTGGAATGTTTCGTGAGGTGTCTCGTGGGATGTTTCGTGAAGTGTCTCGTGGGATGTTTCGCGAGGTGTTGCCCAGTTGGGTATCGTGAAAACGTGTCCATGCTCCACATGTCTATATCCCTTTTCCGGGTTCGTGGGTCCATCATGTTTTTGTCTTGGAGGCCTCCTTGGAGAGCTCGAAGGGCACGCGGGGCCGTCTCGAAGCGGTCTTGACGACTCTCAGAGGCATGTTGGAGGCTATTCGGAATCGTCCTGGGATTCGTTGAGCGATATTGGAGGCGTATCTGGGCTCCTTGCAGCCATCTCGGATACATTTTGGGCCGTATTGGGCGCTCCAACGACCCGCGGCTACCTTCCCGCGCATGAAGGATTGGGCGGGGACATGGGGAACTGTGTCCATGAAGGGGAAGAGTGGGCTTGGATGAATTATTTCGTCACGCCGCTCACGCTTAAAGGGGTGCTGGGATTCCTGTCTCCCTCCGGCCCTCTCCTGCGGCGTGCCCCATCCACTCCCTGTGACTTCTCCCCCGCCCCCCCCCTCCTTCCAGGCTCCGCGCGCGGCCTAGGGAAAAATTTGGGGAGAAAAACAAAAACTCGTTTTGAATACCTCTCCGAATTCTTGGTGGATTTTTCCTTGGGCGCGCGCATCGAAAAAACACGCGCGGAAAAATCCGGGGGGCACCCGGAAAAATTCACGCGGTTTCCGGGGCAAATTCACAT